TAACTCCTTCCCATTTCTACGGTGGCTCGGCGATAAGCTTGAGATCTTCTACTGCTAAAGTTCAGGATTCGATTCCTGTGGTGGGCATAGCACAGTTAGTCCATTATAGATATTTGTTGTTGTTGTTTAAAATAAACACACACATGTTTTTCTAACAGCATTAAACTTATAATACAGATCTTCGAGAAACATTTTGCTATTATTGTTTTAATTTCGCGAATCATAACAAACACAGATTTTATAGATTAAGGGATAATCATTGTTAATGAGTGATCTACAATTTATGATAAAGAAGTTTTCATATTAGCTGCGTGAGAATATTTAATTTTTACGGTGTATTATGGTAAAAGACTATTTCGTTACGAGTAATTTCAGGTAAGTGGTGTAACACACACATTTTTATTGTTCGTGCTCACCTTCCTAGCGTACATACAGAATGAATTATTGAATTTCATTAACTAAGCTATTAATTAACGTTGCTTTCTAACAACATGATTAGAATGCGAATAATGATGACTAGCCAAAAATGTAATCAGGTATGATATAACTTTTAGGCTTTATGATCATCATAGATAAAATTAATTTATGTTTTAATTTGTCTTGAAACAAAGTTTGTACGCCATATTGACTACAATACTTGACTACAGTCAAACGAAATAAAACTCACTTTTACTTCAGCGAGTCAATTCAACCTTTATTTAGACATTCAATCTGACAAGATATACTATGTAATCGTTACGCTATTAATACAAAAGCTGGAGTGGTTTTATCTGCCCACGAATGAAAAAAGCAAATAGTACCCGACTTGACATGTTTAGGACAAGAAAAAAGTTTTACGAATATTATCAAAAAGAGCGGCAAAGTCTCCTAAAGAGTTCGATGGTGTTTAGTATCTTTGCTGGTAAAATATGTGTATTAATAATGAAATGTTTTTTTTTGTTTCCTTTTTAGGTCTATGAGTACAGTAATAAATAGAAATAAGGTGGTTAGAAGTTTGTCCTAAAATATTCCATTTTATGGTATTTACTACCATAAAATGTTAGCAACGTTTTGCTTTTTATATATTACAGTTCGTTGATTTTAGTTCTTCTAAGATAGACTGTCGTTGTTAGAACAATATACATAGATAATACTTAATGACTTTTTGAGTTAAGAACATAACTTGAGTTTATAGAGTGCAAAATGTAGTTAAACATTAAATCTATCCTATAATAAATTATGTGCAATAATACGTCTTGTAGTTAAACATTAAATCTATCCTATAATAAATTATGTGCAATAATACGTCTTGTAGTTAAACATTAAATCTATCCTATAATAAATTATGTGCAATAATACGTCTTGTACTTAAACATTAAATCTATCCTATAATAAATTATGTGCAATAATACGTCTTGTAGCTAAACATTAAATCTATCCTATAATAAATTATGTGCAATAATACGTCTTGAGAAAGATAATTTTATCTTTTATAAGGTTACTATCCGGTAAAATGGTAGTAGTAATGTTGTTATTTTTTAAGTTTAAGAAAACCTTTAAAACCTGATACAATCAATCCTGCTAAAATTTAAACTGGGGTAGTAACGTTCTCTATCGTCTACTTACTGGGGGTTCCCTGGGGCTCAGGGGTAAGTTTGAGAGTTTTAATGCTAAAAATCGAGTTTCGATATTCGCGGTTGGTACAACGCAGATAGTCCATTGTGTAGCTTTGTATTAAGAAATAAACAAACAAAAAAGATTTGTTTGTCAGATTAGGCTGGTACTGATACATACTACGGCTCAGATCTGCTTTGATTAAATCGTTTGAAGACTGACGCTTATAAGACGATATTCGTTACAGATTTGACAAAGACGGTAATGCATTTCGTTTCGGGTTCGTATGTAGAAAGTATTAGCAATACATTCAATGGGAAACTTCTCTTTATTTACGACATTTATACATGACATACGCTACTAAAATAGTCTTCGAATTGTTAAATGTCAATGATAAATACTTCAAACCGACAAACCACTACGATCATGTAATAATTAATACCTTAAAACCAACAAATCGCTAAGACTTTTTCATAAATATTAATTCAAAAACAACAAAGCACTATACTGTTTCGTAAGTATTAACACTTTTAAACCAACAAAGCACTATACTGTGTCACAAGTATTAACATTTTAAAACCAACAAAACACTATACTGTTTCATAAGTATTAGTACTTTAAAGCCGACAAAACATAAATGTTAACATTTTAAAACCAACAAAGCACTTTATTGTTTAATAACTATTAATGCTTCAAATCCAACAAAACATTAAGACCGTTTAATAACTTGTAACACTTCGAATACAACAAAATATGAAGACCGCTTAATAACTATTAACACTTCAAAATCAACAAAGCCTTAAGACTGTTTCATACCTATTATCACTTAAAATCCAATAAAACACTAAGACCGCTTAATAATTATTAACACTTCAAAACCAACAAAGCCTTAAGACTGTTTCATACCTATTATCACTTCAAATACAATAAAACATTAAGACCATTTAATAACTATTAACATTTCAAAACCAACAAAACCTTAAGCCTATTTCATAACTCTAATACGTCAAATCCAATAAAACATTAAGACCGTCTGATAACTTGTAGCACTTCGAATACAACAAAACATTAAGACCGTCTGATAACTTGTAGCACTTCGAATACAACAAAACATTAAGACCGTCTGATAACTTGTAGCACTTCGAATACAACAAAACATTAAGACCGATAATAACATGTAACACTTCGAATACAACAAAACATTAAGACCGTCTAATAACTATTAACACTTCAAAACCAACACAGTCTTAAGAATGTTTCTTAAATATCAACACTTTTTTTAACCACTAGAGGAGATACCAGCAGAGCTCCTTATTATGTGTTTATTTTTGTTTTTGAATTTCGCGCAAAGTTACACGAGGTTTATCTGCGCTAGCCGTCCCTAATTTAGCAGTGAAAGACTAGAGGGAAGGCAACTAGTCATCACCACCCACCGTCAACGAATAGTGGGATTGACCGTCACATTATAACGCCCCCCACGGCTGAAAAGGCGGGCATGTTTGGTGGGACGGGGATTCGAACCCGCGACCCTCAGATTGCGAGTCGAGCGCCCTAAACACCTGGCCATGCCGGACCTCCTCATTATGTGTGTGGAACATTCATACATATATATTAATGTTTGTTGGTTTCATCAATATGTTCATATATGTGTATACACTATAAACAGTAAGATGAAAGCTCAAACTTCATCAATCTATCTCTCTATAAACAATTATTTATACTGATAGTGATGTACAAATGAAAAGAAGTACGAACGAAATAAGCTAATCAAAAGAGTTGTAAGTCATTCAATAATCTATATTTGTATACATATTACGACAGTTCTAATAATTATTTGTGTTTTTGTTGATAAATCTGCAGAGAAACTTTATCCTTAACAAAGTAAAGGTGGTCTTGATTTCTGGAATAATTTTGGTTAATACAAATTTGGGAATAGAACCAAGTTATACTTCTCTAATGTGTTCTAAAGATTTTAGGCATTCGATAAGAATATAAGACTGTTAGACTATGTTTTTTTTTTTTGGTTAAAACATTTATTTCTGTATTTAGATTAAAGTAATTTTAAGTCAGAGTGGCTACTTTGTGACTCTACCACTAAAGTATATTAAATTAAATACAAACGTAATCACTCTACCACTAAAGTATATTAAATTAAATACAAACGTAATCTTGAATTTAAGGTAATTTTAGTGGTAGAATGGCTACTTTGTGTTGAATTTAAGGTAATTTGTTAGTAGAATGTCTATATTTGTATTTAAGTTACGATACTATGGAGTAAAGATGTTACACATGAAAAAGTAACCCTCCAAACACAAATTATCCTTAACAATGATTATCTTTTTACAAATCACATATGGAAACAACATTAACTATAGACCTTTAACAAGAACCAATACTTTAGTTAAATCATGAATATCCCAATTCTTTCTCTCTATGTATATATGATATAAATACGAAATAAAGCTTTAATGCATACATACATTTACATATGATGAGATTTTGTGTGTAAGAAGGTTTGGAAAGTCTTCTAATTTGGCACAAGTTAATTGTTTTTTTTTATATGTATACATATGTCAAAGTTACTACAATTTGAAGATATGATTATACACTCGACATATAGAATAAAATTCCCTGGCAAAAATGTATTTTTCATTACAGTAAAAAGTACGAAAATATTATGAAGGCTGTAAGGTAAATATTATTTCTTCATTTATTGTTGAGTATTTAAAAACTCTACGGGTGATGAATAATTTTGAAAAAAAACTCCTGACAACAGAAGTGTGTTTCAATAAAAATGAATAATGATCATCGAACAAGCAAACGACACATGTGTTTTCAATGGTAATAACAACAACTGCAGTGACTCACTTTTCTGTGACGGATCTACCATAAATCTATGGTCCAAAACGTGGTTTCATGGTGCCATATGGTGAAATAACAACAAAAAAATTGATGGATGTTCAATCACAATAGGCTTACATAACACAACAAAAAGAATTGGATACTATAATAACATCTCGTTACTCTACCACATCTTAAATTTAAGTAATTACTTGAATGTAAGCTTAAAGATATCAAGATACCATTTACCTTAAACGTTTCAGAAATAAAATAAGACAAACCATGTTCATTACTTAACAATAACAGAGATTTAAGAACTTTTTATACCTCTTGTATTAAACGTTTTCATAAGATATAATTTTAGCACATATTGTCTCAAATTCATGAAATTCAAATAAATACGTCTCTTAGTATATTCAATGTTATTCAAGCGTATATATTCTAAGCAAATAAACTATGCAGCTAAATATTCTGATGCTTCTACGTTCCTATATCGATCTAGTTAAGTTGCTGCAGGATCATGACGTCAAGGCTGTTCGAACTCTGAGAACCTCTTTTATCTTTGGCCGTCGTCCACTAGTCCTTCTGGAGAGCTCTTAGCCAGACAAAGATTTCTAAAAGAATAATAAAATTATTCAGTAAAGTATACCACCTTCTTTCACAGAACAAAAATAGCCGCCATTAATAGAATCTCAGGGTGAAACGCACAAATCAAATTGCATATATAATTACAGCATAATCATGACTAATATACTCACCTAGTAATAATGATAATAGGACTTATTAACCAATATTGGGGTATTATAATTGAATTAATTGAATTATTCTTTAGCAATTACATTTGTTAGTCACCCATAGTAGAAATATTTCAAAATAATTTAAGTTGATGATATCAATTTAGCCATCGTATTGTCTTATTCTTTTTAATAACTTCTCTAGCCCTTTTCGCCCTAAATTTGTATATATATATATTACTCATTAATAACTGGTTCTTGGTTCATTTGATTTACACACAGTTATAAATTCTCACAAATATCCTCTTACAATAATCCAGTTTTATTAATAATTAAATTAGATTAAACGTGTGCAGTAAAATATCTTGAAGAACTGTTTTGTCAGTTAGTCCAATTATATTTCATGTTCAAAATTGTGACAATTCGTTGGTTTTTTTTATACTGAACATTATTATTTAGTTTAAATGCTGTAAAATGCTTAGTGTGGTGACTAAACTTATAGCTCTTTGGACATAAATGCCACGTAGGGATATGTAGACATTAATGTTTTGGTTGGTAAAGACTACTCCATGCAGCGTATTTAGACTACATTTCATGTTTCAGTAAAAGCACACATGAATTTATAGCCAAATCATTCGCAAGATCGCTACTAGTTTGTCTGGTATTACATCCCTTTTAAAAGTTTGAGCTTCCATCTCAACAACTTCCGTCATCATGCATACTGCTAGAACAGTAAAATATCCATTAACGCGAAGTAGCCTTGGAAGATGTGTAGCTAATCAATAACAACTGTTTAGGAGATAACCAAAACACAAGTTGAAATAGCATCAAACTTCAGACATTGAGATGGGCAAAGCTTAAAGAGAATAGTCTTTATATATAAGTCAAAATTCAATTTATTTGACAACAATCGACGCTAGTTAATGGCACAGAGAATAATGTTATCATGATTATGTTACAACGTCTATTGAGAGGTGCGGAGGGAGCCAGTGCAATTTTGGCCTGTATCTCAACCAATGATGTTGTGATATACACAAATTGATGGTACTCTGACATATACAAGGATATTCTTATCCATCATTTCATCACTTCAGGAATACGATTTATTGGGCAGAGAATCATTTTCTAAGAAGACAATGATCCCAAGTATGCAACATTTGTGACGAAACGATAAATGAAAGGAAAACAAAAAGAGGCCGATGAATACTCGTAACCATGACTTGGCTTGCACAAAGTCCAGATATGAATGTATGAAGACTGTATATACTTATATGGAAAGTGAGAAAGCCAAACGGCAACCAAACAACTTGGCTGAATTGTGGGGAATAATACAAAATATTTGAAACAATAATTCAAAATCAAATGCAAAACGCTAATGCATTGTACAACCTATTTGCTTTTATTTTGTATTTTCAATTAATGCTTTATGATAATGATAGATTGACGAATTAGTTACTGTCTGTGAATCCTGCTTATATATCACCTCCATGTTTCTATATTTATTTCCAATACAGTAAGTCCCAACAATAGTAAATAAACACCGGGTATCATATTTAAAAAAAGGTCTTGCATGTGGAACAAAATTAGAAATTCAAAGTATGGACCAAATGCTACACATAGGGCTACACAATTGAGTTGAAAGGGGAAATAAACTATACAGTGAGAAGTAATGATTTACTTTACCAAAGACAGATTAGTGGAGGTGATAAGGAATCCTCATCTCTTCGAACTTACTTACCACTCTCTCATAACAGCAACGCAGGTATATAAATAGCAAAATTAAGATCTAAGAAAACTATTTTGAAATGTCATCTTAAAAAAAATATATATATCATTCACAAACAACAATTCTTGAAAACAATGTCATCTTTAAAAAAAAAGATATCATTCACAAACAACAATTCTTGAAAACAATATCTTTCTTTTCAGTATTGGTACCTTTATGTATTTTTTATCTATATAAATAAACGTCAGTATGTGTGCGCGTGTGTGTGTTTTCACATTTCTTGGCCAATCAGCATCAAACTTGATACAGTGATAAAGGATGACATGAGGAAGGTTATGGGGGATTTGTCCCCCCTATCTAATTTCGAAAAACTGCCAATGTTGTATATCTTTCAGCATTAGAATGAACTATGTGACCACTATCGTTAGAATTCTTGAAAACAATATGTTTTTCTTTCCAGTATTGGTACCCTTATGTATTTTTATTGCACTTTTAATGTCTATTATGTTAAGAAAAAAAATAGAAGCACAATTTCCTATTCTTTGTTATAAATGTTTTTTTTTTATTTAACTCGTCCAACGAACGCGTACTCCAGTGAAAATTATAAACATACTTATATGACTGATCAGGATGTTATCCATGAGGTAAATTAACGAAGCTATACTGCTTTCATTATCCTCTCTCTTTGTCTACAACATACACTAGAGTGCTTTTTTTTCTTGTGTAATTAGTTTTGAAGATCCGCACAATTGAATAAAAAAGAACAAACTTCTAAAACTCAGAATATGCTTTTTTATGCAGAAAATTATCTCATAATTAAAGAACGGATTATTTGTTATCTCCTTCGTATACTTTAACGCTCATTATCGAAGAACAAAACTACGCGTTATAAGTTTGATTGTTCAATGTCTATGAAGAGCGAAAACGTTAAAAACTTCGCTCTCGTTTTTTAAGTCAGTGTCACATTAAATGGAAAATTGGATTTGATAAAATCGACTTAGTAAATTGAGACGCTTATTAACTCACATTTGAAACCTGGTCGACATAAAACGTTCTGCTCCCAATCAACCGCGCTTTGAAAAAACAAGTGAATTAAAGGCGGTTTGTTTAATTATAATGAAAATGCGATCTAATCTGATTTTGTTGTCCGATACGTGCATTTTCTTCTTTTTGGTTCGAAGCCTGCTTATATAAATATGCTTTTGTTTTAGCTACAGAATGCGCTATCTGAGTTCTGTCCGTCGCGGATGATCGAACACTCAATTTTAGCGTTATAAGTCTGTAAACTTACCGCTGACCCACCTGGAAACTACAAATATGTTAAGTTAAGGATATACAATGCGGTCATAATTCTGAGATATAAAAATTATCTTGTCATGCTAGTATAGCTTGTATTGCGTTTTACTAAGATACATATTGTTTGACCATTTATCTGTCTTTTGTACTAAAATTCTACTAAAATAAACCTCGATATTTACCGCTGCTCTTATTGTTCGCGCAAAAAGTTCTTAATAAAGTGGTGCTAGTGTGTTATTATAAATAAAATTCACTTCCTTTTTTTACACACAAGACTGATTGCCGGAGATTATCGGCGAAAAATCATAACTTTTCATAACAGTATTTCCTTGTAAATAAATGGGATAATATTGTGCATTGCATTCAGTTCACCTTCTGAATATTGTTTTTGGAAACTCCTTTCTAAAGAGTCGACGATAAACATGAATGTGCAGTTACAATATATCTTACTTATGATTTTTGTATTAAAAAAAATAGTGTAATATCGTGATATATTTGTAGATTATTCTATTAACTTTTGTTGTATTATATTTCGAGGTAGTCTGCATTTCAGTTATGATTACAGATAATAGAAACATAAACTCCGAAATATTAAATGCACACAACCAAATCAGGCAAACCGGGTAAATGTAATATGAATCTATAGATAAATCCTATACATTATTATTATAATAATATAGGTTGAATATGATATTCAATTTATTCTTGGTATATTAAGTATCTGTTAGGTAATTGTTAAAAATCTACATAACAGATTAAACATGTCAAAATGCTCTGGAACTTGATTGTTTGAAGTTAAGTACTGAAATGCTCTGGAACTTGATTGTTTGAAGTTAAGTACTAAAATGCTCTGGAACTTGATTGTTTGAAGTTAAGTACTAAAATGCTCTGGAACTTGATTGTTTGAAGTTAAGTACTAAAATGCTCAGGAACTTGATTGTTTGAAGTTAAGTACTAAAATGCTCTGGAACTTGATTGTTTGAAGTTAAGTACTAAAATGCTCTGGAACTTGATTGTTTGAAGTTAAGTACTAAAATGCTCTGGCACTTGATTGTGTGAAGTTAAGTACTAAACTACTCGATGTGCTGTCTTTGCTCTGCCCTCCACGGGTATCGAAACCCGGTTTCTAGCGTTATAAGTCCGCAGAAATACTCGTAAAAAGATATTTGATTAATTATGGTGCTAAAATGTGGAGTTTGATCCCCGTAGCTGAGAGTATGTAAAGATCCCATGGTTTAACTTTGCACTTAAACTAGTAAAAAAGTTATATAATTTACCTTTCATACGTATTGAGATTTTAGGGTATATTGAATATTATCTGGTCATTTTGAAGGGTGTTAGTGTGCTTTAATTGATTGCTGATAACAAATTTTAGTGACACCAAATACCACATTCATGTTTTTGTTGCTTTGTTTTGTAAGTGATATATAAAGTATCAAACAAAATGATTCATTATAATCTGGACATAATCCTATCAACAAATCTTCCGTCTCAGTAAATATTGGTAAAGAAAATTTTGTGAACGTTCGCGCTGTTCTTTAAAATCTCTCTTTCTAGCATGAATATACTTGAAGGATCATTATTTCGATGGAAAAAAAAATCGATAACTAGGAAAAGGTTCAGTCAGTTAAATGAGATAAAAATGATCGACAAAAAAAAGAGCTTTGGTTTCATATTAGTTGTTTGTATAAAAAAAAAAAGTTACCTTAATTATGATGTCCAAATATTTTAATTGGATATAAACGAAGGATCTAATGTTGTATCAAACACGCACCCATCAATTACAAGGTCTTCATACAAACATATTTTTGATGCACATAAACAATGCGAGCTGTATAATATCCAAATATTTCATCAG